CCCAGCTGCCACATGGGGAATGCTATGGTCTAATAGAAGCTGCTGCTTCTGTATAACTACTACCTACTTCTGTGGGTCTATTGCCAATAACTGGTGGAGGGCCTGGAAGCATTATTGATCACTAGTCAGCAGTTGTGAAGGAGAGCCAAACACAAAAGAAGGGAAGAAGATAAGCTGAGACCTACTGGATACCACTGTGTCTGTCAATAAGTCTTATCACTCATTTATTTCTGCTTCCCAAATTTCACATAAGTTCCTCATTGCCTAACTCTAACTTAGAACCACATGGAGAAAGGGATCTAGGAAATGTAGTTCCCAGCCCAACCAAGTTCACATAGCAGGGAACAACCCAGCACAACAGGGAACAGCATATACAAAGGGCTCAAGAAGGAAATGGATTCAGAGTGCCTGAGAGATGGAAAAGAGGTGACACTGAAGTTCCATAAGCTAGGGAGAAAATGGAGAAGAAGGCAGAGCCCTGATGTGATAGGGCACCTGGCAGCCAGGCTACCAGTTTTGATTTAATTCTAACTTGCAGAATTTTAAGCAAGGTGGTGGGATTCTGAAGTATTCTTTAAAAGGTTCATCCTGTCTGTCATGGATGGTGGGGAAGCAAGAGAAAATTTGAGAAAAAGAGGCATCAGGAATAATAGGAAAAAGATAATCATGGTCTGGACTAGGATTATGAAAATGAAAATACAAACCAGGCACCGTGGCTACTTCAGAGAATGAGGCAGGAAAAACTCACGTTGGAGGCCAGCTTTAGCAGCTTTACACGACTCTATCTCAAAATAAAATTTTAAAAAGTGCTGGGGAGGGCTGGGGATGTGGCTCAAGCGGTAGCGCGCTCGCCTGGCATGCGTGCGGCCCGGGTTCGATCCTCAGCACCACATACAAAACAGAGATGTTGTGTCCGCCGATAACTGAAAAATAAATATTAAAAAAAAAAAAAGTGCTGGGGATGTAGCTCAGAGGTATAGCACTTGCCTAACATATGAGACCTGGGTTCAACTCCCATATTTCTAAAAAAGGGAGAGAAAAAAAAGTATTGATACAGAGAATTGGTCAGGAAGGTCTTTGTTTTCATTTCTCCAACATACTTTTTTAGACCTGAAAACATTTCTCTGTAATATGAGATGTGAGACATGTTGAGAGTTATGTGTGGCAAAAGTAAGTGGTCAGAGAGGGTCCACTACTTTCTATGCACCAAGATCTATGCTGAGCCTTCTCCTCACAGTAGTCCTGAATGAGGAAACCAATGCACAGGAAGTTGGAATGTACCTAACCAAGATAACACAGTTACACAGTAATAGGCCTGTGATCCTAACCCCAATACCTTAGAATCTTTGCTCTTTCCATAGCATCCTGCTGCCTCTCAGGTTAATTATGAGAATTCATGTTCACCATTAGTTATGTGATACCTGGCTCCTCAAAAGTACCTCAAATATACAGGTCTGTCTAAGAGACTCTGTACTGCATAATATCTCCAGCCTGGGTTTCCTAGCTGTTAGCCAGCCTTTTGTTACTGTGACAAAATATCTGAGACAACCAACTTAAAAAAGGAAAGGTTTATTTTGGCTTATGGTTTCAGAATTTTCATTCTATTACTTTGGGCCTTGGTATCATGGTTCATCATGGCAGGGGCATGTAGTAGTAGAGGCCTGTTTTCCTCATGGAAGCTGGGAAGTGAGGGTTGGGGGAGGAGGAGGAGGAGGAGGGGAGGAGAGGAAGGAAGGAAGGAAGGAAGGAACGAACGAACGAACTAAGGTCCTAACTTCCTCCTAGCAGGCCTCACCTAACTGGTGAGCAACTTTTAACACATGGGCCTTTGGGGAATACTTAACTATAGCACTAACTTCTTAAATAACTTACCTGGTGTTTAGATTTCCTCCATACCTACTTGAGGCCTTATAATATTTGAACATGTATAATTTCAGGAGATAGAAAAAGGTGAAGACATTTTTGGTTTCCTGGGTTTAAATCTCATTGGAATAGTGTTACCCCTGAGGATTAGGAAATAAACTGAATTCCATATAAAATTACAAGTCAACAATGTCATAAGGCCATGTTGTCATATTTTCCATGGAAGTTTTTTTTTTCCTAGCCCCAAAGAGCTCCTTTTAGAGAGATTTTGTGTCTTCATCTTTTTGTTGTTGTTGTTGTTATTGGGGATTGAACCCAGGGTGCTCTACCACTGAGCTCCATTCTCATCCTTTTATTTATTTATTTATTTATTAGTTGTAGATGGGCACAATATCTTTCTTTTATTTATTTATGTGGTACTGAGGATCAAACTCAATGCCCCACATATGCAAGGCTAACACTCTACCACTGAGCTACAATCCCAGCCCCTTATTGTTTATTTTGAGACAGTCTCACTAAATTGCCCAGGTTGTTCTTGAACTTGCAATCTTCCTGCCTCAGCCTCCTGAATCATGGGGGTTACAGGAGTGTGCCACAACACCTGGGTTCATGTCTATTTTAATTAATATTGCATGTCATTAGATGAAAAACAAAAAGTAAATGAATAAGGACACATCAGAATTACTGTTAAGCATGAACTTGTTAAAGGGCATGTTTGAGACATGAAAAAGAAAACCAAGATTTATTTTCCAATCAATGATCTATTTATTGATCCTATTGTCTTTTAAGAAAGAAAATGCTTCAAAGTACAAAGTATTTTATGTCATACTAGTTTGAATTTAAACATTATTTACTTAGTATATATGCATGTATAAATGATGAATGATTAGAATATGGGACTATATGTTTATCACAAATATTTATTGAAAATAGGTAGTCTTTGGTTTTTAGTTATACACTGTCCACTTTACCTGTGAGGTGCAAGGTAACCGGGCCACAGACTCAAAATATGGAACATTTTTATATTTTTTCAGAGACATTATATGAAAGGACCTACAGAGTTTCATGATTAGGTAAAGTTGTTTACATGGGATCACCACTGGGCAGCACTCAAAATCACGAGCAGCATGAGGAGTGACAGTATTTGGGAAGGTGAGTTTAGGTTTACATTCTGGCCAACGACATTCTCTCCTATTCAATTCCTGAACATGCTCTCAGAAGAAATTTCCCAGCCTCGAAGAGGCTAACTAGATACCAAACATGCCTCCACTAGCAGAATTCACTCTTCCCGTTGGCTCTTAGTGTCTTATCATTCCTTTTCTTTGTGAAAGATGGTGTGATAATTGATAATCACAAAACTTTGCAAATTCTAAAACAAGGTCACCTGGCAATGAAATTTGTTTTGCCTTCAATTAGTTTTTAGAAGTATCTTGGTAGCTGTCTTTTTAAACTACAGAAAGTTGGAACTTGTCAGGAATGGTATTGAAGGAATTTTCATATTGGTGGCAAAAGGTTGGGCACTGGCTAACATCTCTGTATGTGTGTTTCTTTTCTCTGGGTTTTCAGTGCTAGGGATCAAACTCCAGTCCTTGTACATACTAGGCAAGCACTTGACCACTGAGCTACATCCTCAGTCACAATGCGTGATCTCTAAAGCTGCTTTTCATTATAAGATTACATGATTCTAGATGCCATATATATCTGGAATGTTCTGGAATAATAGTCCAGAATAGTCACAAATGTTTGAAACATGTGCTTCTTATTTGTTAGAGAAGCCAAGTTAATATCCTGTTATATAATAAACAAGGATGTTACTTCATCCTTCTTTCCTGCAGTGATAATGGCCAGAAGATAATGATTAAAAGAGGTTACCCAGGGTTAGACACAGTAGAGTAGCCAGGAAACATCCTGCTTTCTCTGAGAGGATGGTCTGACTGCCTTCCTACCTATAACAGATACAATTAGTAAACTATTCAAAACCCAGCTCCACAGTCTTTTAGATGTGGTGGCAGACTCAAGGAAGTTAAACTGTAACTCTGCCCTCAAGGAACTGACAATCTGGTTAGAGAGAGAAAACAGACATTCAGAAATTAATTAGATGACAATTAAGTGATCCTCCATATTGTACTAAACACTCATGAAATAGTAGTTTTATGATGATTTGAGCATCCAGAAAAATTTTTGAAAGATTCACTTACTTATTTTTGCAGTGCTAGGGATCAAATCCAGGATGTTACATATGCTAGGCAACTGCTCTACCATTGAGCTATACACCCAACTCTCCAGAAAGGTTTTATTTAAGAGGCAGGACTTGAACTGAACCTTGAAGACTGGGATCAAGTAGAGATAAGCAGGGAGAAGAAGGCATTCCTGTGGAGTATAGAGGGAAAAGTGAGAAAGGAGTACACCCAGGTGAATGAATTTCATGAATGAGTGCATAACTTGTGTAGTGGAGAGAAGACAGGCACTAAATTGTGGCAAGATGGTGAAGAATTGGCTTGAGTAAAGTGAAGGGTAATGACAAGAAATAGTGTGGTCAATTTGGGCAGGCAAGAGTCACATGACCTCAAAAGCCAGAGAGAAGTTTCTGAAAGCTAAGCTCTGGTGATCTCCAGTGATGGATCCTCAGAAGGAAGCAGCAGACACATTGTGTGAAAGGCCTACAGGTTGGTTCAAATGCAGATGCCAACAGCCATGGCAGCTTGGCGAGTCCAGCTCAATTCCAAACTGCATGACTCACTGGCACATGGACAGGTCTGGGGCTTGCTGACACATACCTCAGAATACTCTCTAGAGGCTGTAGTTTGTGGCCACGGAAGCCCAGGCAGCTGTTATGTGTGGGATGTATTTGTGTGGATATTTGTCCAGATGTGGGTGTTACTGAGATCATAGCCTTACACATGATGAAATTCAGTTGGTTGAGGGTAGAGGAACAAAGACAACTATTGCCTCTAACAAGTCTTAACATTTTGGTTTTAAAATCAACTTTCTAACTTTAGTTACATTTTTAAAAGAGTACTTTAGATTTTCTATTCAAACTAACAAACTGATTTATTAGAGGTCATCCCTTCTTGGAATTATTTCAGTATAATTAAAAAAAAAATTTAACATAAAGTACTTGATGGTAAAGTGGTCTCTTATGTAGTCTTCTTTTGATGAGGACGTTGGGGTCTTTTAGCTTTTAAAAATGTCTTCATTTTTTGTTTTCCCCCTTTCTTTTGCTTTTTCTTTTGGATGACCTGCAGAGAGGGGCGGGGAAAGGATAATATTTTTTAATTTTACAAATTACCCTTCCTTATATCCAAACTCCTGACTGTGGTTTTTCTTTATTCTCAAAACTGTCTTAAAGTTGCCTTCTCTCAAAGGGGCCTCTTTTGATTCTCTGATTTGCTCACTTCTTTTGTTTGTTCTCCTGGCTTATTGATGTCCTCACATCAACTTTGCTTACCAGCCACCTGCCCTGACTGAAACCCTCTGAGGTTGGTAATATCATCATCCACTTTTTATACATGAGGGGGTTGAGGTTAAGAGAGGGTGACTTGTCCAAAGTTGTGAAGTGGCACCCCCTTTCTCCACAGAAAAGCCATCTTCACCATGGCTGATTTTAGGACTGTCAGCAAAAGAGTCCATTGTAGATAAACTTCCTATTTTCATGTCACCCTGTTTACTTGGCCACTGGCCGAGAAGATACCAGTACTCTAGGTGCTGGACACCCCCTTACTAGTTTTTCACAAATGTATCCAGTATAGTACTTTGAAGAAATGTGCAAACAAGGCCTCTGGCCTTGAGCTGAGCTTCACAGAGAAGTCTACATTTTTAAGATAAGTTATAATTGGGCTCCATGGTAACAGCTGGCAGGGGGAGGAAAGAAAGGGGAGAAGAAGTTCTCCTCAGGTGTTATCCTTGAAGAGTTAACTTGCCCAGAACAGTGAAATAAAAAGCTGCTTTTATGTAAACTTCTGCAGACTGTGAACTTCTGAGCCCCTCCCTTACATGCTGGGTATAAAACTCTGAAACTCCCTGAACTCGGGGTTCAGGGGATTGATTGATTACAGCAAAGGCTGTACCCTCTGAACCTGGCTGCAGCCAAATAAAACTGTTTCCTGCTATCTTCGGTGCCTTGCCTCGTTTGTCCCTACAACAGTTGGACAGCTAGTACGTGGCCAGTCAATAGTCTGTCAGACCACAGAACTAATGCTCCCCACCACATATTCTGTGTCCTTCATCAAACCCAACTCCTGAGCATGTCATGCAGAATTCTTCCCACTTTGTCCTCACTGACTCTTCCACCTCAACATCTTTCTCTCTCCACATAAACTTCAGTCTTATTACATGAGGTTGCCTGAACACAGCAAGCTCTGTCTTGATTTTACTCTTGTTCACACCGTCCTTAGCTGCCTGGGGAGCTACCTACCCTTCAAGCTCCAAATCAATGTCACCTGATATATGAAGTCTTCCTTAATAATTTCTCCCTGTCGCTTTCCTGGTAAAATCAATTACTACTTTCTCTATAACCCTCAAGATTCTAATATATACCTTGATATTATATGTATGCATTGCATCACAACTAATTAATTCTTGCTATAGAAGGAAGGGACTATATCTTATTACCTTGGCATCCTTCGTGTCTACCATCAATTCAATACAATTCAAAAGGATGAAAGGTTGAAAACTGTACCCTTCATTGAGCTACACAGAATTCTTTGTTTTCCACAATTTCTAAAAGATAGAAAACTGTTCTTCTTTTCACCAACCTTTTCTTTCCACATCTTCACCAGTTTTTTCACATAACCTGAATCTGGGTTTAGACATTCTTCATTCCCGTTCTTCATTGTAGCACTGCCAAAGAAACAGCAATGAGATTTCTTTTTTCTCTGTAAATAATTTGATTTTTTTTGTAGAAATAATAAAAATAGGTATGAATTTTGCTGAATTTTTTAGTGAAATTACTTTAAATTACTTAAAAATTTAAAGACAAGATTATTTGGTTGCATTTTAAAAATTATAGCAGCCCATCCAAGAATAACTTCATGATATTTCATTAATCTCTCTGTACAATCTGAAAATAATAGTAGAAATTTCATATATAATTCTTAATATAGGTATGAAAGAACTTAAAATATGCATATCATTTATCCTAGCAATGATAGGAAGAATTAAAGACAATACTGTCACAGTAAGAATTTGGCAATAGTCAAAATTTGGAAATAATCTATATTTCTAACAGCAGGCATTGGTTATATAAATTATGGCACCTCTATATAATATAATTTGACCATTAAAATGACATTATTATGGCTGGGGCATATAGTTCAATGACAGAAGCATGCTCCCTGGGTTCAATCCTCAGCACCAAAAAATAAAATAAAAGGGGGAGGAATTATTAAGAAAAAATGAAATTATTATAGAAGATTTACAGACATAAACATGAGAAAATGTTCATAATTATAGTGTTAATGAAAATCATATTGCAAAACTGTTCAGTAAAGGAACTGTACAGGTAGGAACTCTATCTTATTATATTATCCTAAGTGTCTCCCATCAATTCAAGACAATTCAAAAGGATGGAAAACAGTGTCACAATATTTAATAAATGTCTGTTACAGGTTAGACACATACATATACTCATGGGTGCTATGTGGACCAACTTCTTTTTATGTAAGTAAATGTCTATTAGACAAAATTCTTAGTAGCAGAAAAGTAGGTCATAATCATTTGGGAAACTGTGTGAAATTCCATTTTTGTTCCTCTTGATGCTTCAACCACATCTTCCACAGAATTTTCTCTTTATGCAGAGCAAGAACACCCTGAAGGCATAACTAAGAGTCACCAGGCCAACTGAAATCATCCAAGGGCAACTCCAGGCCTGACCCTAACCCTAAGCACCCTTATGAAAGGGAGAGGATGTAGAGTTCCCTGGATCATATGCTTTGATCATAAGGGAAGGGAACACTTTACGTACATAGAATACCACTGATTTCAAGGACCAGCCAATTTCTGGAATCCATAGTATAAAGCTTTAAGGGCTACCTGAAGAGCTCCCAAAGCACACAGAGCAGCTGCTTTGGGTGTGTGGCCTTTCTGATTAGATGCCTGCTGAGCACCCTAGATCAATAACATAATTGGATTAAAATAACAATTAGATTTATGTTTAATAACAATTAGGTTTTTTAAAGAACAGCAATGGGAGAACAACCGCTACAAAGGCAAGAATTTTTATTTGGTCCACTGCTGTGTTTTGAAATGCTGTCAGCCAAAGATGAGGGATCTGTAGGATGAGTAAATATCACACTGACTTTGCAGGAGCATTAAAATAAGTTACAAGCATCATAAAAGCAAATGTACACAAACATACCTAATACAATAATTAAAACAAATAAAATGGGCTTGAAACACTCCTATTTGAGGGTGCTCAAGAGATGTGGACCAATTTCTTAGGAATTTAAGTGGACCTTAATGGAATGGAGTTGGTGGAGTTTTGGACCAAAAAGCTGTTCAAAGGATTTTTAGACTAAAATGTATCTCATTTCAAGATATATTTCAAGATATTCTGCCAATGCCTGAAACTTCAGATAGCAGTGAATCCTATGTATGCTGTTTTTTCCTGTACATTCTTATCTATGATAAAGTTTAATTCATAAATTAGGCACAGTAGGAGATTAACAATAAATAATACTATGATGAAATAATTTTAATTATATACTATAATAAAAATTATTTAAAACTTATGAACTATTTATTTTTGGAAATTTTCACTTAATATTTTCAGACCATGATTGACTGTGAGTAAAGTGAATCAGCAGATAAGGGGCAACTATGGTATGTTGTACATGATTTTATTGATTTTTATTTGTGTATCTATATGCATAAAATATTAGTATATATATATATATATATAGTGTGTGTGTGTGTGTGTATAAACACATATACCCAAAGCAAATGAGGAAGCTTTGGAATACCATGTACCCAGAAGGTATATGATAGTATTTATCACTGGCTGGTAGGATTATAGGTGATTGTCAGTGTCTTCTTTAAGAAGATTGTCAGTGTCTTCTTTAAGCATTTTCTAGGAGCCCATTTTCTGGACTGCTTGAATATATGTTTTCCAGGTTACAATCCTAATTAGTCTCAAATAAATGAAATGTTATTTTTGTTCTTGAAAAACAAACTTCTCTACATTGAAGACGTGCTACTTCACAGTCTATCATACTTGGTTCTCACTCTCTACCAGAAATTTAATTTTTTTTTAGAAAAAAAGAAAGCAACAGACAGACTTATGGAAAGGGTAACTATCTGAACTTTAAGTGTCTGCATGGGCAAGCACTCCATTTGCCATCATTTCTAGATCACTGCCCTCATTTTGTGAAGTAATAATAGTCACACTAAATTTAGTGTCCTTGCCAATGTGGCACCTGTGTATTGAATGAGTTTTTACTTACATGATTTCAGTTTTCTCACAGGAAGGGCTTGGGGCAAATTGTTTAATGTCTTTTAAGGCTTTAGGGTGGATTTTCCCCTGCCTAGTACTGATGCAGGAACAACGGTCATTCCTCATTATTGGGGCTCCTATCAGAAAGAGAAAGAGTGGAATACATGCACGTGTTAGGTCAATTCTCCCATTGAGGCAATTCATCAAAATGATACATGCATTTGGTCATAATTATTTCTATCCCTTGCTGTCGGTAGATCATAACCACAAACTTTTGAAGCAGGTATTTCTCCCCTTTGTAGATAAAGAGGTTAAGGTTCAGTTAGATTAAATAAAGACCAATCACAATAGCTTTCAGGGGGCAGGAGTACGAGTAGGATTTCAGCTCAGGTTTTACTGTGTCCAAAGGTGCTGCTTTTAAATACATCACCTTACAACTTTAAGAGGAGTAGACACTTTCACAACATTTTTTTTTCAAATAAATTTATTTTTTATATTTATTTTTATAAATATAAAAGTGGTGCTGAGGATGGAACCCAGGGTCCTGCTCATACTAGGCAAGTACTCTACTGCTGAGCCACAAATTCAACCCCCCCCCCACAACATTTAATAAATGCCTATTATAGGTAAGACACACAGACATATAATTCATTAGCATTATGTGGTTCCAACTTCCTAAGGAACTCCCAAATACATTTATTCCCTGACCTTAGTGAAATGGAGTTGATACAGGTTTGAACAGAGAGCTTTACTTAACTATAATTACCACTTCCAACCTCATCCTCTATGATCCCCACTGCTTGATTTTCAATAGTGCTTTAAATTTGGGGAAAGTTTTGACACTCATTCAGCATATATCTATGCAGTGCTTACTGTGTCACACATTAACTTCAAAATACCATTTTACAAATATGGAAACTGAGTTCCAGTAAGGTTATTAACCAAGGTAACAAAAATAGTAAATGGATTAGGGGCGATCTCTCTGATTTCTCAATTCTCAATTGGTTAAACACAGACATATTTATCAAGAATCCATATCAGGAAAAAACATGAAAACAGTATAGGAAACAGAGTCTCTCATCTCATTATCAGCTGCCAGTGCTGCTGTTTCACATCCCTTATTATAAACCACCCATTTATGTGAAATGGAAATAAAATATGCAGAAATTTCTTGGCTCTGAGATAGGGCTTCTTGTTATTAAATGTTCAAACATTTATTAAGACTTAACTAGGAATGTACACACCTAAATTGAGAAGACTTGTGTTTGACTTGGCAGGTCCAAGTTATGATCTTCAGATAATCAACCACATCACCAAGATGTTTTTATGAGTGACCAACATTACTTTCTGGGGCATGCAGAATATTCAACTTTATCTGATGAACCCATAGGGCTTAATAGTGAGTCATACCTCTGACTCTACTAATGTAATATAACTCATAATCCCTTACCTTGAACTCCAAACAGAACCAGGAAGATGAGGCCCAAGAGGAAAGGAATACCGCTTTTCTTCATAGTCAGGGAATGGAGTTCTACCAAGTCACTGCTATATATTTTGAACCTGAGGAATTCTTTTGAGAACATGCTCTGTGGAACCATATTTATTTAGGAGATCAATTTTCCTCCTAAACTCTGATTGGATGTTGTCCTTAGATCAAGCTAAACCAACCACAAATTGATTGTGCTGGGGGAAATCCTAATCTCTGATCCAAGGGAATTTCTGCTTGTTTTATTTCCATTTCACATAAATGGGTAGTTTTTAGAAAGTGATGTGAAACCAACAGCACTTGCAGCCTTTAGCAAACTCACAGCTGTTCACCTGGGAGAAGAACAGGTTATGCGATGAAAATACTAATGTCATACAGTAAGAGTTGGAGATATGGTTTCCAAATGGGAAATATTACAGTTCACTTAAGTGATTCCCTTATTACTTACGGCCTAGCCTTCTGTATAATACATGGCTACATTATCTTTCTCATATTGTCCATCCAGCAACTTTAAGCACCTTAATTTCTTTAGGGGCCATGTTATTTTCTACTGGTGGTAATTTCATTTTGTGTCATTGATGCCACAGCCTATTATTTTTAAAATTGATAGATCAGTTAACATTATAGTTCAGATACATGTAAGAGACCCAAATTAACAGTGGCCAAGATAGAGGCTTATTTCTCCTTGACACAGGTAGGTGGACCAACGCTTGTATGGAGGCTCTTTTCCCTGAGGTTGTCCAAGCTCCCTCTATCTTATTGCTTTGCCACCATTCTAGGTCACTGCCCTCATCTACAAGGCAAAGATGGCCTGCTACCATGTCTGATTTCCAAGTACAAAATAGCAGAAAGGCCGAAAAAGGGCATCTTATTCCTTTTGAAACTCATCTTCAAAGTTGCAGCTATCATTTTCCATCACAGCCCTGGCAACAAAACTTATTCACATGGCCACACCTAGCTGCAGGGGAAGTTAAGAAATGTCATCTTCATTCTGGTTGACCTGCTAAAGATCAGAGGTTCCATTACCACAAAACAGTGTTTCTCAGGTAGGGTGGCTCATTTGGGGCGCCCCTGGTTTGGCCTGAGGCTTCCTCTGACTCTGGCTGTCCTCACTCTCTCCTGATAGTTAGTGCCGCAGCAGCCACTTCTCCAAGCCCCAAAGGTAGAATTTGAAAGCAAAGACTGTCATTCCCATCCCCAAAGAGGCACAAAGACAAAACCCAAGAAGCTGAACTATAAGATGGAGACAGATAAGTTTGCTTAAGCACAAATATTGATTTTGTTAATCTCTCTGCAGAAAAAGAGCATTCGTCCCAGAAGAAAGTTCTGGAAGTCTGGCACAGTAAGTATCCAGCAAATGCTCTATCAGTGAGTGAAGGGGCTCTGCGGCCGCATCCAGGCACCGCTCTGGCCCCGTGACCTCCTTGAGGCCCGTGGCGTGCGCACTGCGCATGCCCAACCAGCTGTGCTTCCAGAACCTTCTTCCGCGAGGAGGTTAGGGCTGGAGCTCCCAGCGCTCACTCTTTTCTCGCCCGCCGCTCGTGTCGCTGCTGGTTGTCCGCTGCTGCTCTGATCCTCACAGGGGGAAGAGAATCGCTTTGGGGAGGAGAGGTAGTGTGTGTGCCCTCGGGATCTCTCCTCTGTCCCCTGGCCACTGTCCTGTAGCCTCCCCAAGGGGAGGACGCGTTTCCTGGGGAGGGGGAAGGAGGCAGGGGGCTCACAGAGGCCCTTTGGGAGCTTCCACAGTAGGCTTGGGTGAGGCCTGCGGGAATGAAGGCCCCAGAAGGGTTGGGTCGCCCACCGGGCGGAGGCCTCCAGGCGAGGCTCCCAGACCCCAGAGCTGGAACCGGACCTGTTGGACCTTAGAAAGTGGGAGTTGGGGTCAGTGAGGAGTCGTTCGAGGCCAGGCCGCGCCTTGTTACCCAGGAGGGTGGATGCTCTAGCGGGAGGAGAGGGCTTCCCAGGTGAGTGGCGGAACCACTGGGGTGGAAATGAAGACTACAATGCCCGCTACTTAGGTCTACTCGGACACTTGCTTCCCAGGCCTCGGTTTTTTTTTTTTTTTTTTTGGGTGGGGGGGGGGGGAATCATCATGCAAGCTCAAAGTGCGCTTCTGATTGGGCAGAGGGAAAGAGAAAACCCACTGACAGCACACTTATGACTAAACAGGGCTTTTAGGAGAAATAGAAACCTGGTGAGAGGATATTGCAGGAGTTTCCCACAATCCTGGGAAAGGAGCCAAAGTTTGTCAGGACTGTTGAAATCAACAGATAGTTCTTAATTCCCCTTTGGACCAGAGTTTTAATTTCTTTTGCCTTGAAAAATTCCAGTTCTGTGTCCCCGAGCACCTGAATGCTGATGTAACCCCCAAGAGCCTTGGTTTTCACATGTTGTCTGGCCTCCCACTTCCATCTTTTTGGTTATGGAATCAGTGTCATCTGTTTTATTTTATATATAGTGTGACTCACTGTGTCACAGTGAAGATGAGAGGCTTCCTTTTTACCACGGGAGAGGAAGTTTCATATTGAAACCCTCAGGCCTGTTTTAATTTCTCACGGTGTGGATTTCCCCTCCTTTTAGCAGCTACTGCTAGAATTAAAAGGATGCTGACTCGGAAAAAGTGTACTTTGTTAAAGTCTCAGAAGCCCTGATTTATAGCATTCTGAGTTTTCTTTTTCCTTTTCTACTCCCATGCAGGAAGTTAGTCTTTCCTTCTATAAAATTATTATGTGGTGAACTGTCTGTGTACAAAAGTCATAGCTTTGTAGTGTTTCTTAATGGTGTCTGCATCTCACCTCATTAAGAGAATGGATCAGGTTCTTCCTTAGCTAATCTTACTAGCTGGCCTTTTTGTTTATATGTCTCATGCAAAGCTTGAGAACTGGGTTAGGTTTGTGAATAAGCAGTCTTGAAAGGGAAAGTCAGGACCTCATTTCAAGAACAGCTGTGGCTAAATGTTGGCGCTAACACAGCATTTTTGTTCTGTGACTTTGGCAAGTTGGTTGTGATTATAGTTGGGAAGAAACTCCTCCCTAATCTGAAGAAAAAGCATCCTGAAAAGAAAGAAAATATTACTATATTTAAAACATTCATTTTCATTTTAAACGATTTACTTTAAAATTGTTTACGTAACTCTATAAGAAAACATCCACTTTCTTGAAACTCTTATTTACTATTTATCATTCATTTCACTTCATTCATCGAGCTATTATTATTATAATTCTAGACTCTGAAGACACAAGTTATTTACAATAATTTCTGCCTTTAGAGAGGGTACAGTGAGTGGGGGAAAGCAGCATATAAACTAATAATTACTGTAGGAGAAGTGCTACATTAGATTGTTCAAAATAATTGGAAGTTCAGGGAAGTCCAAACGTTGGCTGAAAGGGTTCAAACACAGCTGTTTGAATTGTATCTGGAAGGAAGACTTGTTTGGAGTTCATTATTATAAGAAGGTGTGGCAAGGTATTCTGAACAGGAGACATGAGAAGGTATGACAAATATCAGAAGTACCAAGTATTTTGGCAAGGGGGAGGGTAATAATTAGTGATTTAAAAGTTTATTGATCCTAGTGTGAATTTTGAATGTAGATTAATTGTACCAAAGTAGTGTATAGAGGGGAAAGTATAGTCCTGCATTTAAGCAAGTGATAATGAGGGAATGAGTGAGAAATGGGGCTGGAAAGAAAGCAGGTACCAGAGTTTGATAAAAAGCCTTATAAATACTCTAGGTGAGGAGACATTGAAGGATTTTTAATCAAGGGAGTGACAGGAAGAGACTTACACACATCTAACCTTTGTTACTGAACAATACCTTTTAACTAATCTTACTTTAATGGTTCTTCATATTTCTAGTTTGTTTATTTGCAATGTTGGCCACTTGAATCTGCCCCCCCCCAACATTTCAGTAATACAACAGTGCTCTTTTTATTTCTCAAAAGGTTTTACTTTCTTGGTGCAAGGCAAGGAAGCACGTGATTGTATTCCCAGCTACTTGAGGGGCTGAGGAAGGAGAATTATTTGGTCCTAGGAGTTTGGGGCTAGTTGGGCAACATAGCAAGATCCCTGTATTTTAAAAGAAAAGAAAACAAAACTAGAAAAGGATTTTACTGTCTTGGGATATTTTCCTTCTTTGGGACAAAGGTTAAAAAAAATTTCTATGTTTTTGGTAACATTTTGGCAGATTGTTTGCCATAAAGAGTAGACTAAATTTGTAACTACCCTTCCAAACTGTTGATGTACCTGATTCCCAATTCTCTTACCATTTGTATTTGTTTTTGTTATTTAATATGCGGAAATTGGTACCAGAGGTTAGTGTTTATTTCCACTTTTTAATATTGACATTTTAGTTTGTGTTGGCTTAATACCTGCATTTTCTACCTTTTCAAGATCAGTTGTCAAGTAGAGTCAGAGTAATGTAGTCCATCATTATCCATGGGGGGTACATTCTAAGACCACCAGTGGATGCCTGAAACCATGGGTAATACCAAACTATCTTTTTATATGCTATTTTTGCCTATACATACATATCTATAATAAAGTTTAATTTACAAATTAGGCATAGGCATTAACATCCATAATGCAGTGATACAATTATAACAATATATCATAGTAAAAAGTATGTGAATATGGTCTCTCTCTCAAAGTATTTTCTTATACTGTACACAGTCTTCTTGTTGACTCTGGGTAACTGAAACCTTGGATAGCCAGTGAAACTGGATAAGGGGGAACTACTGTATTAACATTATAAGTGCATGTTAGTTCATATATAGGAAGCGTTAATCCTTTTTTTTTAAGGTAAAACATCTGCTATTCTTATTTTGTTGCTTCCATTTTTTCATAATTTATTATTGAATATAATATATGCTAAGAGCTGAATTGTATCCCCTCAAACTATTCATGTTGAAGACCTAACTGTGAGTACCTCAGAATGTTACTGTATTTAGATATAGGGTCTTTAAAGAGATAATTAAAATGAGGTCCATAAAGTCCCTGAGTTAGTCTAGACTTTGACTTATTAAACAAATATGTCAAT